CTGGTAAGTAAAGGACTTGATGTAGGGGACGAGAGCATGGTGCTCATTTGCGGTAGCCCTGAGCACCGAGACAAGACGAGCTGGATACGGAGGATACCAAGGAGTATGGTTGGTGCCGACCATGATTTCGTATACCGGCGAATAAGATGAAAAGTGCATCCAGCGTGCCCACAGCTCGGGAGTAGGCTGATCGGCGACGAGGTTGGGAGAACGTATGTAGCCGCCGGTGTCGGAAGACCAGGTAGAGAATCCCAGCAACGAGGCTCGGATGCCTGAAGCGATGCTGTACCGGAGACCAGTGAAATTGGCATGAGAGTCGCCGTTCCAAACATTGGTCAGAGAACGAGAGCGGTCGACGACCGAGCGAGCGAAATTGTAGAAGCCGGATTTGCCCCATTTATTGGCCATTACTGTTTCACAAATCTGCTCGAAGAGTCGCATCTGAGTGTTTTGCTCCCACACTGATTCATCAGCAAAACGAAGATATAGCACAACACGTCATTGCTTACCTGGCATCTCCCCTTCTTCACCACGGTCAATCTTGAAGCCTTTGACGCCAACCGACGGGAAGTACGCCATCTGCTTCAGGAAATACTCGTATGCTGCCGGAATAGACAGGTTGAGAGCTGGTCCGAGGAAATACTCTGGGTTGATGTCCGGGAACAGCCAACCACCGGCTACCGACGCGTTGTAGAGCTCGGTGTCCAGGAACGCACGATTAGCCGCCCACACGTGGAAGTCAAACCCCCAGGTTGACAGATTGGCGATGAATTGTTTGGGCGTGGGATAGTAGGTTGGGTCAAAGTCGAAGTCTCCCCATGAGTAATTACCTGTCCCATATGGTCTATCCGCAAACATGGAAGTAGCATGGATCTGGTTGTAGTAAAGATGGTCTACGACATCGTAGTAATTCTCCTGCGCATTCGACACGGAGCCGTGAAAATCCACCTCAAAATTGTCGGACCAGAAAGTCGGGCCATATCCAGAGTCAGGAGGCATTGTAATACGCGCCGACAAGCCCGTGTATGTCTCGATGATCGACTTATAATCTCCAGGGGAAGTTGCCAGTATGATGTAGTATGTCAAGCTGCTGGTGTTGAAGATAAATTGCGTTTGGCCGGAACTGAATTGGAAAGAGCCCATATCCAGAGTGTCCGCATAGACTCCATAACCGGCGCTGCTGTAGAATGCTGGCGCTCGTGCATTGTCCCAGTTTACTCCAACAGAATTTCCAACGCCTTTAAGGTCGAACTCCACGCCATTGTTGGTCAGTGAATCATTCCACGGATACTCCCAAACGCCGTAGAAGCTCTCGTTGGGTTCTGCTACGAACTGTGCTCCACTGAACGCAAAAGTCGAGTTGTACTGGATCTTAACGACATTGGGCTGGATAAGAGACCAGTCAATGAGCCCCCTACTATTGGACACCACACCGTCGTTGGACGCAGACACTGGACTTGCTGTATTGTTCGTACCGCCACCGAGAATCGCTTTGTTAATCACAGTAACACCTTGATTAGACGTGACCGTTAAAGAGAATGGTGTTGTGCCAGAAACAGAGACAGATATGTCGCTTAAGGCGGAGCCAAAAAGGCTGCAAGCCAATGAGAGCAACAGCAACATGTTGTTTGCAACGTGTTGAGTCTGCGCCCTTACACAAAGAGCTCGAGCTTCTTTCTGAGAGAACCTCTATCGAGGTCGCAGCGTCCCTTTTACTCAACATAATGGAGATCATTACACCGAATGCCGAAGCAGAATTGGAGGTGTCTAACCACGAATGCTCTATGAGCAGCTTCCCCCTGTTGGGAAATGCAATATAGGCTATTTCTTTGCCTGCGACCATGCTAGAACGAGTAACGGATCGACAAGGCGACCACAGGGCAGTCGAGAAACAGCCATTCCGGGATGTTGAGGACGTAGTAGAATGTGGGGAACCCTGCTCGGTGCGGAGCACTGCCGATCCCTGTCCAGGCGAGAAGAACGATGCAAGAACCTGCTCCACCGCTCGGTAGAGAAATGACAACGGTTGATCTCCTCAGATGGAATTCGTCTTCAGGCAAATGACCGACGAACAAAGAAAGAGGCAGATATTTGTCGGTTATCGAGAACGACCAACAACTTGATTCGAAGAGCCGCGGATGGGCTGACGTACAATGTTGAGGCATGGGTGCTGTAAAGACACAAGATGAAGAGGAACAGAAGATCCCACTGTTGGACACAACCTACGGATTCTCGGCCAGTTAGACACTGCTAGATAACTCCAGTATGTCCGCCATCAACTCTTATTTTGGCTCGGCAATTGAAATAGAACCCAATCTTTTGACAGTGCTCGCCGAAAGTCGGACTCCAGCGAAGGTAACTTCCTCTTCCGCTGTCTTGTGAGGATGGTCGTCGCCCGTATTGATTTGCAGCCGTGGAGAGGTATTCGGAGGCAGGAGAGACCGACGCTGTTTTGGGGAAAATAACGGAAGTGAAAATGCTTCATCCGTAGGGAGGGAGGGATCTTCAAGAGGTGCCAAAATATCAATAGTGTAGGTCGAGATGGACTCAGCTGGTCGTAGCGAAGCTCAACGTTATTAGCACGAAGAGGTCTCGCTAAGGGCACAGAAAAATAAAGGGGCAAAAGAAAGGCCAGACTGCAAACCTGTAACTCATTCGCTTGAGAGATGCCTCAAACTGAAGAACCTGGTAATTGGTGACAAACATGTGATGCGAGTGCGATGGCATTGAAGGTGCGGTACAATCCAGAACATTGCACACACATGACCACACATTCAGTTCACCCTCCAACAATTGCTGTGCACCTCACACCACAAATAAAAAAAGACTGCTACAAAGTCAGGCAAAAAAAGGACAACCTCAGGGACTTGATAGGGAAGCAAACAGAGTATTTAATCTGTATCTCCATTTCAACCACTGTTGGTATTCAGGAGCCGAAGCCGTTGTATCACTTTGTGATAGCCCGTCCCCAAGGATCTCAGATCTCCGGTACTTCGTGCGTTCACTGAATGGAACTTTGGTGTCGTAGAGGCAGATTGACTATCCGTTCTCAAGTGTGAACCCCTTCCTCGATTGGTGACAGCAATTGCGAACTTCCAAAATATATGTCAATGGCTTTGGGAGTGAATTTAGAATAGAGTGGGGCCAACAGAGCTTCCAAGTACAAGTCACTGAATCACTCCCCCATCCATGTGACTTGGCGACTCGCACCATGCAAGTGAATAACATTCTCTTCTGACTTCACATCTCACCTTTGATGTACCTTTGGGCTCAAATCGGCTCTCTCAGCCATCAGTGTGTCGTGCATCAAGTTTCGCCGCAAGCCGAGGAAACGGCGATGCAAAAGTGTGCCTTCTGGTCGAGCATGAGAATGGCAGTGAAGGAGATCCAGGTAGGTACATCGCACAGCTATACCGAGAAGCGATGAGCACTTCAAGCTCGAGGAATCATGTTCTGAGATCGGATTGAAGAAGAGGATGAAATCTGCAGATTTCCAGTGTCAAGATGGCAATCATATTAACTCGGTCGATAGTTGAACTGGGTACCTGACTCTCACCTTCCTTTGTTGCGATAATGTCGGATCAGAATAAGAGATGGAAGTGAGGACAAGGTTTGAAGAGAAAGTGCCGAGTTGCCAGGAGAAAGAGAAAAGGGGATGCCAAGATCCGGAGAGTTTTGAGCTACGTCAGAGGCCAGAGGGATTTCCTCGGTCACCAGCGAGCCTTGCTCGCCTGATTCCTCCCCTACTTTCTTCGGTGACACAGTGGTTGACCAGTCCAGACCAGTGACAAAACGACGCCATGAGCATTACTAATCCCAAAGAGATGGGGTTGTGCAGCAGGATGGACACCGACATCTGAATCTGCAGCACTCTCAAATATACACGGCGCTGGCAAACTCGAATGCATTCTCGTCTCCTTTCCAGTGCACCTTGACAGTCTCACCTCAGCTGGATAGACTGTGGTACGTGCAGGAAGCAGCAATGTCTTCACTATTCATAGAGCCTCCCGGGCTCTTCCTGGGCCTGTCACTCTATGTGAATACTTTGCAAGCGACATCAACTTGGACAATAAGGAGAAGGGGCCCTGTTCTGCACCACCAACTTCAGCCCTCCTTGGTTTCAGGAACATTTTACTTTGGTTCTTTTTCATTGTCCGCAGAGCTTGTGAATATCAGACTTTTTCAATTCACTAGCTTTTTGGGCATCGTCTCTAAACTCTAGGCCGGACCTGTCAGGCAAGTAGTGATATCAAGCAGTTGGAGTGAAGCTTTATTGTAGCTCTAGCTTCGATCAACAATTTGATAATCTTTGCGTTAAATACTCTTCGATGATGCTTGGGTTACTCCTCCTCTACACAGGAGTCTCACACTATCGACGAGGATTTCTGCAACGACGATTCAACAACACATGCCATTCACATGCAGGAGACCTGAAGAAATCGAGAGGGTAACACAATACCACAGCTCCCCACGCTCTGGCGCTCAGTTGAAGGGGCGCAGCAGTGCAAGGTCCTTAGTATCAAGAAAGTGAACCAGGAAATTGAAAAGGAAAATTCGCTCCGACTGTTAGCTCGCAGAATCTTCCCTCCTGACTCCCCCCGTCTCTGAGCCTTGCACGTGATGAGGCTCCGACAATGCTGTGGCTGTGCTTGCGGCTTGTAAAAAAGTGGTATGAGCTCTCAAACTCGCTAGCCAATCATCACCCGCCCGAACCTCAATCGCAGTTTCGACAACTTGAACCTTTTGACCTCCGTGCTCTTACAACCTCTGTCCATCGACTCCCGACTCATTTCTCACTCGGCTTACACAATGTCGGTAGCACGCGCAGCTTTCTCGCTCGCTAGGCGTGTCCCTATCTCAGCTGCCCGCGTCGCTCCTCGGACGTTCACCACTGTCACAGCTCGTCGTACGTCAATTGGACTCTCGAAGCTTCAGACAATCTCTCCGGAGAAGCTCTCTCAACATAGACTATCTTGACAGAACTGGCCTGACTGATCTGGATGTCTGCAGGAACAAGCAAATGGGATCCGAAGCCCGGCGACCCGGAGGGCAAACTGCTCCCTTTTGAAGGTAGGGTCCCAACGACATTTAACTAGAGCGGCAGACTTGCTGCCTATACAAGACACAACCACGAGGAAATATCATGCTGACCCTGGTGAAATCTTGCTTGCACAGAAATCAAAACCGAAGCAGATCTCCTTCCTCCCGGTGCCGCTCCCGGTACCGTCCCTACCGATCTCGAGCAAGCAACCGGTCTAGAACGTCTAGAAATCTTGGGAAAGATGCAGGGCATCGATATCTTTGACATGTCGCCACTTCCGTCAGATAGACTCGGTATGTTCTCTCTGGGGAGGAGATCAGCTCGAATACGAACGGAGCTTTAGAACCTAGCGGTGGTTATGCTGCTGGCAGCCAAGCTGACAAGATTGTGTCGTGTAGGTACCTTTGAGAATCCGATTGTCGTCAAATCAGCTGGAGCCGAGTATCAGGTCGGCTGCACCGGCTCTCCGGCTGATTCACATAATGTCAAATGGCTCGTGGTATGTTCACACACTCCCCCAGGTGCCATGATCCCCTCGAAGTAGCTCTCCGCAACGGACAGACTCGTGACTGACGTCGATCTCTCTTTTTCATCTTGTCAGATGGACCGCAAGCGCCCCTTTGAACGATGCCCGGAATGCGGGAGCGTCTACAGAATGGACTACATTGGACAGCCGGATTCGCACGACGACCACCATGGCGAACACCACCACCACCACCCCGCGCATGAAGCACCAAAGACTATGGCTGATTTTGTCAAGCCCGAGTACTGGTACCGATAAAGCACAGACAGGGCCGAGAATTGAAGCTGATGTAGCCGGGGGGAAGAAGATGTTCTGGAGCGGGGAGAGAGAAAGACGAAGAAAAACTGTACATAAAAGAGAATACCTAGTCGCGATGAGAGTATCAATCAATACGCGTTCGCAGCAAGGATAGTGTTGCTCATGGTAATTTCTATACTGGGTCTCTGTTGGATTTCTTTTCTTTCCCTGCTTGCCCCTTGATCCCGAGACCTCCGTTTCGACGAGCTTTCGTCAGTCCATGCACGGTCCTCCCTGCTTACATTTGTGCGTGACCCACCTAGGTAGGTTTTCTCCAGTCGCTTTTTGCCATCATCATACGTGGAGTAGAATGCTTCGTTAATTGTCACCACGGATCTGCACTCAGGTTCTTCCAGATCGGGGTATCGATATGTCAAATATCATCTGGTCCACGGAATGAAACACGTGAGATTGAGCCTCTGTTCCCGATTGACTACCCGAAAGGAGTGGTGAACCCTGTCGTCTCTCTGTCTGTTCGTCTGTACGTCGACGCAATTCAGCTCCAGCGTCGAGAAACCCCCCTGATGAGATAAAGTCTCGCGCACCACATTCCGCAATCTTGGCGGCAACCCTTCACTCACCCCGTGTAGATCTCTGGGGCGAAGTATCTGGAAGGGGTTGACGTTCAGCTCAGCTGAATAGGGATAGGGATACACCACAGCCACATAGAAAGGTCGACTTGACCGAGTGGCTGAATATTCCGTCGGTCCATCAGTGGTAAATGCATACACCTCGTGGGCCCGTGAACTCGGCATGGTATCCAGAGGGGAAGGGGTAGTGAGAGGCACTCTCGCCCAGTACTTGGCCCTAATCAAGAAGGAATATTCAGCCCTTTGATTCGTTATAGGTGTTCGTCGGGTTCAAAGGCCAAGACAAGGGCCCGACTGGTACATTACCAGAGGAGACCTCAAGCGTTGTACTTGCCCCAGCATATCGCAATCTAATCAACAGAGCCAACGTTTGTCGACACCAATCGCTGTGTCTTCTGTTTGTGCGTCTGTTCAGGCTTTGTTGGGGACGATGCAAGCGTCTTGTTTGTTCTCCCCGTCTGCTAATTATTCATAATTCAGAGTTGGATGAACGCACCACTGTCTTTCTCCATCGCCACAAGAGCAGGCCATGGACAAGAGGAAGCTGGGTGGAAATTGCTGATGGGAATGATATTATCGGTCCCCAGGCATGGCTGAGCCGTTAGTAATTTTGGACGCCATATCGGTTGCTGCGATCGAGCATTGCGCGTGAAAACAAGGGCAGTAACAACAACAACAGGAGGATGATGTGTTTTGGTCGAACAATCGCACATGGATTACCACCTCATCCCTACCCTCATTTCCAGAGGTTCCTGATCCAGCACCTTTGCAGTACCCGTCAAGATTCAGGGGTGCAGCGGCTTAACAAAGTTCGTGGCATCTTTCTCTGTTCAATTGTCTGTGCCGCTTCGGTATTGTTTGGAACTTTATCTGAAGAGCTCGGACTATATCCTAGAACGTCTCCGATGACAATGATGGGGGCGAACCTGGATTTTCCGTTGGAAGATGAGGCGTCTGTCGTTGCGATAATTTCGGTCTGATGTCCCGCTTCTCTCAACGAAACCGACGAGGACGAACGGATAGAAGGTGGAAGTTGCGATCATTGTTTCTTCTCCTTTATTGTTGTGATGATGAATGTTCCGCGCATGCACTTGCTGTATGATGTGATAGAGATGTGCTGTTGCTCTCAATTCTTCCAGCAATGGGCAGTTCTCCATCGTTTGATCGACCAACTGCCTCAGAGGACATCCTCTTTTGCAACCGCGCCCTTCACTCAAACAGACCGTCGACTCTCCTCAAAGCCGTCGCGCCAGCCAACGTAGCAGTGTCTTCGAAAGTGAGTTGTTCAAAACCTCCCTCTCTTCACCATGCACCCCTGGAAAACAGGCATGAGGAACGCCGCATCGAATGATATCTGAATCACCAACAGAGGTTGGGTGGAAATTAAGATGTCTTCGGGTCAACAACAACATGATGCTGACAGCAACAACGGAAACCATCCGCCCTCCAACATACCACCCGGTCAAGGAATCATCCACGGAGGGCCAGCCGAGACTAGGGGGCCTTCAGGTCAGCAACGACAACAAGTCGAGAGCAATAAAAGGAAGAATCCTCGCACTAACAGACAACCCAAAGAAGGATCCACCTACAGAGGATGGGCAGGACTCTTGGGGTCCCTAGGTCAACAACAACATGTGGACAATAGGAAAGGGCATCAAGACTTGTCCAGCATACAAGCCAATCAAGGAATCACCAACAGGGCATCGACAGAAATCAGAAGGTCTTCAGATCAAAAACAATATGCCAGCCGCAATAGAGGAAGACAACCTTCCTCTAACGTACAAGGGGTTCGAGAAATATACCAAGTACGCGAAAGCCCATGATAATTCGCCCGCTGCTAACAAGACTTCAGGAATACGACATCATCCGACCTGAAGGATATGGCTGTGAGACGTGGAGTGACTATGACAAGAGTAGGGAGCGGCCGGAACAACATAAGGATAGGTCTGACAAGGGATCGTTCAAAGAGGGATTTAAGAACTTCAGGAACCGAAGCAAAAACTGGTTCGAACGGCGTGGTAGTAATGGGAAAAGTAAGGTCTGTGATATAAGTCAGAGATAACATGCGTGGGCATATGGCTTTTATCATATACTGCCAGCTGACGGAGGGGAACCCAACAGGAAATGCACAAAATGACAGGGAGGTTGTGCCGTATCCGAGAAGGGTTGGGAAAGGTAGGTAACATGTACACCCTGTGCGACAGGGCAGAGTTGTGTCCAAGGCTCGAGATCGAGAGTTCGCCTCGTGCGACTCGGCGTGTAACAATGAACTAGCACCACCTGCATCAGGCGCGAGTCATACACCTCTTCTTCAGGCTTTCTCTGCCCGTTCGAGTGTATGTTCCGGAAAGAATGCTGGGATGCGACGAGAGACCCGCACCGGCGGATTTTGCTTGAGACCTCAATATGCCGATCGACGACCTCGAAAAGGGTGGGCACACCCCGAGTGATTGTCAGGAGGATGTTATCAGTATGTGTATCTGACGCTCGTTGAATTGAGAGGCCAACTGAATAAATAGAAGGGCTATGGCTACGTCGCCTCGGTATCAGATTTTCTTTCCCAAAGCAAGAACTTCACAAGGAGGATCTGGAGAAGGAAGATACTGATGTCCGCGCTCGTGAGTATCGCCGCAAAAGCCATGCGAACATTCCTGAAAGGTCTCAGTTGAGTGCAGTGTTCGGGGATGGCCAAGAATCGCGACTTTCGTTGACAGCGACCCAAATTTCATGATATATCGCCGCTTTGGATTTCTAAGAACAAGGCTGCTCTTGTATCATCAAGATGTATTGAGAGAAATGGAGTCCAGACTTGACTACCAGGATATGCAGGACTCCCAAAGTGGAGGCACACGTCGTTACCTCTCAAACCGCGATGGCGACGATATGAGAAGCCCGGCTGTCCGCAAAGTCCTGTTTGAGCAGCTTGATGCGCAATTGAAAGCTTATGGTTGGTTTCTTGTGCTCCGCTAGACGGAATCACTGAATGGACGACTGATGTGGCGATAGATGATTTGCTGTCTCGCTCCGCAGCCTTGTATCAGTACCAGAAGCCAGATGAAGAGGATCGCTCTAGCATTGCAAATTTAATCCACAACGACGGGAGCCTCGCTCAAAGGGACAGGAGCTGGATCAGGAAGATCGATGACCTGATCGTCCTTGGTGGCGAACAGAACTCCTCCTGGGTCCACGGGCTCGTCAGCCATCTCTTCACGTGGACCAGTAGGTCCTTGGTCCGAGTACGGAACGCCTTTTCCTGCTGCTCTACCAAAATCTTGAGACTGACTTGGCAAAGTGTTTGCTGCGCAGCAAAATCCAGGACAGGAAACTGGAAGGTTCCTCGATGCATGTGGAGCTGTATGAGAGAAAGCGGTTCAACCGCGTTGTCGGGTTCCTGTACACAATCGCCATCGCAGCCTTGATTATGGGACCAGTATTGGTCCTCTATCGGCTGCGGCACCTGGATGGGTACGCGCAGAACTTGTTGGCATTTGCGTTCACAACCATCTTTGCCTTGCTTTGTTCCACGGCCACTGCTGCGAAACAACACGAGATATTTGCTGTTACGGCGGCGTAAGTGCACATTGGACGATACCACTCTCAGCACGCTGACCCTTAGCAGATATTGCGCAGTACTGGTAGTGTTTACCAACCAAAACACAAATGGCAACGGACAAACGTCGATAGCGATCCCACAGGCGTCTTCGTGAAGGGCGCAGCGGGGGGCTGAGAAAGAGTGATCAATCATTCCACCGAATGCATCATCTAAATCTGATATACCTGGAATCTCCATAACCATGAGTATCAGATATGAGGTCACCAGTGCTTTTCGTACGCGCTGCTAATTTTTGGGTTTGATATATTTGCTGTTCGTGAGCTTTCAACAGTTTCCAGGCATCCCCTACGAAAGGGACTCCCTCGGAGACTAACTATTTTCAGACATTTCTCTGGAAGCACTGAGGTTGACCAGGTAAATAGACGAAGCGAATCGACAAGGTTGATCTGCATTGATTGGCATTCCTTGCGGTTACAGGCGCTTGTCGTGGCATTAGGAGACGAACAATTCGGCTTTGACTTCCCTGGGTGTACGGAAATGACCAACATAGCCGCCCGATCTCGTCCGAGAGTCCTCCTTTCTGGGTGAGACCTGAGAGAACGAAATCAAGACGTGTCGACTGCTGGGATCCAAGCGAATAACCGTACTGTAGGTAGATAGATGATCGTCCTCCTAGAGATCTAGGCTCTGATTATCTACAGAACCCGCGTGCCACAAGAGAGCAGAGTTTGCGTTTGCGCCACTTCAAGAATGATGAAATGCTGGATCGTAACGTTATCGGGAGAGGAATCGACAATAATTAAGGCCAGTTTTACAAGACTTCATTGAGGGAATAGGCTTCCAAGGAAAGATTCCTCCCCTTAGAGCTGCTCGCCACAAGGATCGCAGCTCATACTGCAGAGCCTTGTTTTCAATCAGGAACATCTGGAGAACAGCAGATTCGACGCACACCTTCGAGCCACTCTCAGCACCGCTACCACGACTCATCGGGATTGTTCCGAGTGTCGTAATGGGTTGGGATCAAGATCCCCTATGTCGAAGCCAGTTTGGCCTATAGCCAAATCGATGGATCGGACGCTGTTGTTGGAATTTGCAGGTCTAGTCGTGGCTAGTGGTTGGATCCCAGCTACAGGGAGCATAGGAATTGGGGAAATCGAGGCCTTTCATATCTTCGTCATCAAGCTGGAAGTCGTAGATGGCGGCATTCTCCTCGATTCTAGCTGGAGTGGCACTCTTCGGCAAAGGTACAAAACCCTTTTGCAAGCTCCATCTAAGCAGTATCTGAGCCCATGTCTTTCCGTGTTTCTCACTGAGCTGTTTCAAAACCGGCTCGTTGGAACGCTGACCGCGGATGATGGGGCAATATGCTTCAACAACGACGTTCCGCTTGCGGGCCCATTCCACGATATCGTTGCGTGGAAGCCATGGATGAATTTCCCACTGGCCGACGTCGATCGTGCCGCCGACATCCGAGGTCTTGATGTACTCTTCCAATTCATCGAGGTGGTGTACTCCATAGTTGGAGACGCCAATGGATCGAATTTTACCGGCTTTCTGAGCTTCTGCAAGCGCTTTCCACGCCCCGCAGCGAGCTTCTTTGCCGCCGTACGGAGAGTGGATGAGGTAGAGGTCAATGTAGTCCAGGCCAGTTTGAATGAAGGATGATTCGATCGACTTCTTTGCTCCCTCGTAGCCCATGCTTCTCGGCGGGACTTTGCTGGTGAAAAAGATTTCTTCTCGCTTCAAACCGGAATTGCGAATGGCGTCGGCACACGGTTGCTCATTACGATAGGCGCGTGCGGAATCCACATGTCGATAACCGGTGCGGAAGGCATGAAGTGTAACCTCTTCGCACGATGCGGCAGGGGTTTGATACACTCCATAGCCCAGAGCTGGAATCTCGTAACCAGAGTTCATCCGGTACGCGGTATTGATGTCGAATTTGATGGGGATCTGGGTGGCCATTGTCCGTGGATTCCTTTCAAATGGAGCGAAAGTGCGGAGGATTGCTTGTTGGGCACGAATGACTCGTCCACCCGAGATTGACATTTGTAGATTGGGCCTGCTTGATTGCTTGATGGGCTGAGATCAAGATTAGAACTGTGAGAATAGAACGTGGAGTTGGGAAGACGAAAAGGTCAAGAAAGGTCCTAATTGCCCAATGCTAAAGCGGACCGGTCTGACAAGGTCTATTTTGCCGCTTCGAAATGAGAATATCTTTCCTTGGGCAGAAATCGCCCTGAGGAATAACAGCTCCATTGGGAACTGCGGCCACTTGTTGCACGGCCCCCGTTCAGCACTTTCGTTGTCGTCGTTCAAATACATCAAATACTCAGACTGTCGCGTATGGTTCCGCTTTGACTCCCCGCGAACCTTGGGACGCCGCTGTATTTTCAACATTGAACCCGCTGGCTGCAGAAAAATAATCTAGAAAAAGAAGCCACGAGCCAGTTAAAACACCGCCAGAGAACAGAAAGAGCTACATGGTGTACATCAGAATGGTTCATTGCCTCGATGCCGCACTCTCGCGCCAATCCTCGTCGCTATTCAATACCTTGTTTGCAGGCCCATCTAGCCTAGGAACATCCTCGTCCTCATCCGACCCGAAAGTATCCTCTTCCAGCATCGGATTGGCTTCGGGGTGAGTGGACTTTGATGCCCTTTTGCTTTTGTCATGGTCCTGCAATGTGTCGTCCGCCGATATAGATATACCGCGGGGGCCCCAGCGGTTGACTTTCGGTTGCTGCGGCTGCCCATTGCTCTCTTCATTACCGGCCTCTGGATCCTCTCCGGGTGGCTGCCGAGCAGTATTGATGACCCTGTTGACTAACCAGCCTTTACGCAGATCGTCTGCGTCGACAATACCACCTCCCCTCAGCTTGACTCTTTGCCTCGTCCAGTACACCCATGCGAAGTCGATGTAGAATGCGGTTTGAATGATGCCGAAAATGACCGAAATCGCGTCGGGCTTGGACGGAGTGAAAGCCCGATAAATCCAATTTAGAAGGTAAAATGCCCGGTAGGAGCCTAGAGTGACAAGGTAGAAAGAATCAATGACAGTAGGCACGGTCGTCTGACGAAGGAGCAGGAGTTGCGGGAGAACGCAGACGGATTCAAGAATGATGGAGAATGTCCAGAGCACCTCGGTGAAGGTCGTTCGACGCGGACCATTGAAGGTCAAGCAGACCAGCGGAGCGGCAAGCATTGATGCAGCAGTGGCATAGGCACCCCACTTCCACGCCTTTTCCCGCTCACGGGTTCGCGCGAAGACTCGGGTCATCAATATGATGATATAGATTGAAGACCAGATATAAAAGTTCTTGAGGATGAAATTCCACCATGACGCCGAGGGAGGGACCCAGAAGAGGTCGAGATAGCGGGTAACGAAGACAGCAATATAGAGGATCTGAGTCAAAAGAGAGACACCTGTTCATGGTTAGCTTGGGGAGCGCAGGCGGACTGTCCACGGAGTCAGACCTTCGGCACTCTTGTTGGAATGGATGGCCCAGATGAGAATACATTTCGAGGCGGTATGGGAGACGTCGCCCAGGATGCGGAAGATGTTCATGTTCATGGTCGGCGAATCGACATGGCCAGGTCAGATAGACGGCTTGGTTCACCTGGCTGCAATAGTGCTCGATGCTCCGGCCTGCGTCCAGGAGAACTGGGGCAAGAGAATGTCACTTGAGCCAAATCACCTTATCAGTCGAGAGTGGCAGGACCAGCTCCAAAACCCAACTCTGCTTCCCCGAAATTGAATGCGTGACGAGGTGTTGAGTGAGACGTTGCTAACTGCGCTGCCTGCGGCCGATGAAACACGCGGCAAGAGGCGAGACGGGAGGAGCAACGTTGATCACCAGGCTGAGAATCAAGGGTCTTGGCCTGCCCAACGGCGCAACGGTTGCTGCTTTTACTCTCCGCTGTCCTCCGTACGAGGTGCAGCGAGGTGCTCCGTCCTCCTTTCTGCCTGCGCAGCTCTTGCCGCCATGCTCCAACATCTCCATCTGACCTCCACTGCTTCAGTTATTACCTTCTCCCCCCGAAACGCGGTTGTATCTGTGCTCGGTACAGAGTATGGAGTAACCGAGTGTGGAGTACCTGTGCGAGTACACTGTCACCTCTCTAGCCCTTTCCTGTTGTCCCAGACGGACGACTTCTAGGACATCCGTATCCACAATGCACAGTGGTTTTGTCAACCATCGGCCACCCTCACCCACTTCGTCTCTTCCTTCCTGTCCTTGTCCTGCTCCCTGACATCCTACCCACCAGATCTCGGCACTCATCATCCGGACGGAGTATCCTATAACATTTCACGAGCAGTAAAGTTGTGATATTGGCTCGGTTCCAGGTGGCTAGCGTTGCTCAAGTGCTGGGGTGACCGCTTTGTCGACCTCTGGCCACACCTGTTACATGCATAGCATTATTACGGAGCTGCACAGTCTTAACTAACTAGGGATCTCGCCGGCCCCCACGATATTGCCCTTTGTGGCCAGAGAAACACCAGATTCGAGATCCTTCCGGGGAGCCGGATGCCGCCTCCTCTAGTCCGTTAGGCTTGATTTTGGTGGCTGGGCCTGGGGTTGTGACCCTTTGCTGTTGTTGCTCGTTAAGCGACCAGTGCACGCGTCCCCACCAACGCTGGATCGTATTTCGATTACCTATGCTAGCCACGACAACATCTTGAACCAATGCAATCTCAATAGCAATCTTTCTAGCCACGGTGAAGGCTGCGATTTCTCGCGCGTCTTCGCTAAGAGGGAAACACCCTCGGTTGGTAGCGAACAAAGACCTCTCTCGTTTCTCACGGGGGGAACTAGACTTCCGCGAGGATGAAATAACCGCTTCAAGACCAAAAGCCACTCGATGGATGTGAGGGACCGCGTTGATCCCCGGCTGCTCAAGCTCAATTGCGATAGGGGACCATGACAGGGCACGAGGAGTTCGCCGGGGCAAAACGGCCATCAATCAATCGAGCAATCAACGGCGTGCGGCAATCCCTGTCTTGAAAGGACGTTGCGGACCCTCGCTCCAGTCTGATATATTCTTCCCCTGCAAGACTACCTGCACGATTCGGGCGACCTCCAATAGTCAATGGGACCATTACTTGAATTTGTTCAAGTCTCCAGCTTCTGTCCTTATTCCCTGTCGTTTTGGCCCTCGTCTTGTGGCTTTGCAGGTGAGAATTAACCGCCCAGATACTCTGGCGCTTGTTGGACCACACACAACCTCCTTTTATTCGCCAACACCTACCCTAAGGCAGATTCGCAGCACAGAATGGAGTATTGGCTTCGGCGTTGGATCAATCCTCTTCCTTCTATTATTCCAGAGCATTCACACGTTCATTGGCGATAGTACGGTTGGATGGACGGGTGGCTCGAACTCACCAGATTATCCTATTCTAGAGCAACACGGGCCGCGTGATCGAGATCTATGGAAAGACTGACTGGCAGGGACGGCCCCGCCTCCATACTCTCGCACTCTGATGAATTGGGAGACGTTTTCTCTTTTCAATCATGATGCTGACTGGGGAAGGTGTATTCCCGTCCGCTGCGGGTATAGCCACGGCAGACGGGAGCTTGCCCGAAGACCACTCTACCATCGGCTCTGTCATTTGGCTGCATAATCCCCATTCCCAATCGCCTATTGCAGTCGCGACCCTCTCTATCTGCGTGCCTAAGAGGGTCCGGTAGCCCTAACCCTCATATGCAAACCCACTTGCAGCGGTACCAGCGGTTATTCCGCTGCTCAGAGTGATCGAAAAACCCGAACACCTACCTTGACAAAGGCCAATAACTCCACTCTTACGAGGCCTTTATCTGGTCGCATAACTGCAGAGCCAACATCAAGTCTGCCTTCGCGTTTCGGGGAGGCAGACTGGAGACAAACTTCTGCTCACTACCGGGGTCATATAACATCTGGTTCAACACGAAGACCGGAATGCCAGAACTTTAGAGTCACACCAGTGTACTCTTTTCAGCCTCGACCCTTTGCGAGAAAAGAAAGTTCCGCAGTCAGGTTCGAATGCTTCAATACGTCTACCTACAAGTCCCATTGGTTACACGGCATCTTGTAGCTTTTTCTGCCTACGAAGCAATCTCCCAGCCTTTTCGATGGCGCCTCCTGTTCTCCCTCTACCAGGAGGCAGATCAGGCTCGCGGTCTCCACGGATGCAGAAGCCGCGCAATCCATCACGGAGAGACAAAGTTCGTCAAGGCAAACTGATACGCAGCTGGACGGACGAAGAGGTCTGCGCCTTCGCTCAGCTTCTTGCATCCGTCACTGACAGATAGCAGGAATCCTTTCTATTCCGGAGTCGGACGCAAGGCCAGAAACTACCCTACAAGCACATCGCCAATCGTTTAGACAAGACTGAGCTGGCGTGTCGTGTGCATTGGCATCATATGACAGTTGGTCGAAAAGGCCATCGCGCCGACGAATTTGACGATGACAACGTCTCTGATAACAGTGACGGGTCGGCCCCGTCGACAGCCCGGTCTGCAAGCCAATTTCCAGCGCGCAGTGGCTCTGACAATGCCCAACAAGAGCCAAGTCTCTCGTACACAACGTCACCAAGACCCTGCACGCTACCGAGCTTCGAAACCTTCATTCGAGACACATTCCACCAACGAAGTACCTCGTCGCCAGGGTCTCTTGTGGGTGACGACGTGGACGATGGTGCAAGAGAGCGACAACTGCCAAACAGTAACAGATCATTACGGACACTTTCTGGGTCGTGGCTGAGAGAAAATGGAGCCACTAGCACATATCTTGAATCTCAGAATCGAGACCCACTCAATAACCTTGGTGTCTCTCTACCTCCACCAGATCTGCGCGAAAATCCTTCAACTTACGGTCCCAAATCCCTGTCAGTTAGGCTCGCTGACCATTCCCAAACACGAGAGGACAGAACGAGGCACTGATGCCCCGACGCAAGGCTGTACCGTTCATACCTGGACGTCGTATAGAGCCGACGGTGCAAACCGCTTTGGTACCACTTTCAGACTCCAATGTCCGTCACGAATTTCCTTCTACATTTTGACCTTGCTCGCTTCTTCGTGTTTCCAATCTCCCAACCGGCACGGGAGGGAATTTCCGCTTCAGCATAGCATGGATTATTCTGGGAGTCGGGTATCTGCATTGAGTTTGTTTGGTTCTGGAGATCCCCGAAATCGCAAGATGCGAGGGAGAGATTTCCATCATGAGAACTACTAGGCGTTCTCCTTCGAGAGAGCCCTCAGGTATAACATCGAATTTAATCCTTCGGCTTGTCCTCTGCCAACTGGACTGAGGTGTCCCAAAACTTTCTCCACGACTTCGTCGTTCATGTGGCCAACTACCCAGGCATGAGAGCGATTCACACCACGACCCTGTGCCAGCGAATGGTCCATGGTTGGCATTTCAACTCTTTGTTAGACGAGGAACTTGGATGACGGAAAGCTCCTCCGAGGCTCGGACGGCCGGGGAGGTAATGGATGAGTGTGGTAGTGACTGGTAGAGTTGTTCTCCACGGTGCATCGAGCGAAAAGAGATTTCATTTTCTTTCTTTTTTTCCCCCCCCCCCCGTAACTGACGTTGGCTGTAGCGATCGAATTAACGATGGCGACATCTTCAGCAAGCAAATCCAGGCCGAAAGGAATTGCTGGTACAAGGTATACACACCCAGGAGACTCGAGGTTTTATGGGCTTAACAGACTGTCAATGTGGGATGGGCATCAGAAAGGGAAATGATATTACGAGTCCAATCATTCGAAGATGGTCGTATTCGCCTACCATAACAGGCGTTGACTCGGCTGCTAGACGCCCGTATCATGACCGGCCGAATACATTCGTCCGTGTCCAGGCACTGCCAATGCCTCCAGGACCCTCCAACAGCCTTTCCCTTGCATGAAATGTTGGGGGCCAAAGGAAGAGGCGCCGGCTGTCGGCCGAACGTCTCGAAAGTCCGGTATGAAGTCACAACTACTGGAAATGAATAATTTGGCCTTCGATATCGCAGGCGGGGGTGGAACAGTTCTGTCTCCAGCACCTCCAACACCACCAGCTATGTCCGGTGCTATCAAATTGTGTGATGACAAATCGTGAACACGGCACTTCACAACTCCCCGATCTACGCCAGCACAACCGTCTTTGCATAATGCCCAGAGTCAGACTATAAGATGGAACTCGCCCAAGCGCTCTAGGTCAAGCCTTCACCGGATTGAGACACGTCAACAGTCTATTTAACATTTCTGATATACAAGACATCGAAATATAGGACTTTTCTCTATTGACGTCCCGACTCGGTTTGTCAAATCAGCCTAGTTCTTATCTCTTTCTTTGAGTTTCTCTCTTCCCCTCATCGTCCTACTGGCAATATCAGACGTACATAACTGAGGGGCACTCTGTTAACGGGCATTACTCTTCGGCTCGACGTACAGACACCTCCATTCAATCATCACCCAACATGGCATCCGAAGGTATCAAAGTCGTGTTTGGAACTGCCTCATTCGGTAATCGTGACCCATGGATTGCTGAAGACTACCTCAACAAGGCCTTCTCGATTCTCCTGGCTCACGGCTGCAATATTCTTGACACTGCCCAGCTATATGGCGAATCGGAGAAGCGTCTCGGCGAGGTCAAGGCAGGAGAGAAGTTCGTCATCGATACTAAGTGGATGGGTGGGTGGCAGCCGGGCTGGGCGACGAAGGAGAACATTATCAACACGGCCAAGCAGAGCATAGAGAAGCTGGGTGTCAAGCAGGTGAGTTAGTCTTATCGTCATTTGGGTGGACCACTCGTTGGTTACATACCAAGAAATTGTGAGGCGTCCGAGCTGTTATATCACAACTGAGTATTCACCAACCGACGCTTTCAGTTTCTCTCTCTGGAGTGTGCCTACCTCGATTAACCACACCCGCAGGTTGACATCTTCTATATTCACTCCCCCGACGCCGCTGCGCCTCTTGAAGAAACCCTCGCGGGCGTCAACGAGGTCTACAAGACCGGCGTATTCAAACGCTTCGGCCTCTCGAACTACTCCCCCGCCGACGTGCAAAAAGTCTACGACGTCTGCAAAGCCAACAACTATGTCCTCCCCACAGTCTACCAGGGCAACTATTCCCCTGTGGCACGTCGACAGGAGACGGAGCTTTTTCCAACGCTTACGAAACTGAACATCGCATTCTACGCCTACTCGCCGCTAGCCGGAGGTTTCCTTACCAAGACCGCGCAGCAAATCAAGGATGGCGCGGGCCGCTTCAGCGAAGAGGCCCTCGGCGGGATGTACCGGCAAATGTACATGAAGCCGTCCTACCTCGAGGCCCTGTCCAAGTGGGAACAGATCGCCAATGAAGAAGGCTGTTCACGCGCCGAGCTCGCCTACCGATGGGTCACTTACAACTCGCCACTGAAGAAACAGAATGGGGACGGGATCATCGTGGGTGCAAGCACGGTAGAGCAGCTTGAGCAGACGCTGAGTGGGATCGAGAAGGGACCTTTGAGCAGCAAGGCTTGTGAGGGTATCGATAAGATTTGGGAGGAAATAAAACATGAGGCGCCCTTGGACAACTTCTCTCGCTGAGAATAAGAATGGCCAGAGTCAAGACTCTCCAAAGAAGTCGAGTTCTTGTCGTCGACAAGTGAAACTCAGGCGCCGTTGGATTTGCCTTGGAAGCTCGCAATGGCTGGGAAATCGGTGCGGCACAGGCTTGATAGAAAGAACTGCAAGCGGTGATCTGATTTCGAACAGTGGCGTCTTCAAGTAAATCGATAGACAACGAAACATTTGGTCAATGGTTGTTTTGAATCATGTTTCCATTGGACTTTGGACCATCGAAGCGGATGGTTGGAATCCAGACAAAGAATCTGGCCTGCCTGAACGATTGATTGGGGAAACAAATAACAGGGCGTGCTGAAGAGTGGCTGTGCCTTTCCCTTGGAGCCGCAGTTGCTATCGTGTGTAGGAGGTGGAAAGGAACGAAGACACCAAGACGCCCCCTCAGACCGTCTTGGTGGTTGGAGTGAGCGCAGATGACGTGCTTGTTGTCCACCTCATGCAACCCTCAGTTCCTGCAGGCAGCTCGGCAGACAGGGCCTGGACCTGCAACTCCTCGATCGATCTCTTCCCGCGCTTACAGGGCGACCCCAGGCTGGTGGCCTACCAGGCCTACCAATCTTGGCTTCCACAAAGCCCTCTGCTTACCGACTTTCATTTGCTCCAACCACCAAAAGGGCGAAGATTTTGCTGGTCACGCTGAAGACGCCGTCTCCCTCCTTCTTCGTCCCTTTACCCGCGACAATGATCACAAGGCCTTGTTCTCGTGCCCGTTCCTCGACGAATTGATTGAGATGCGCTTCCTCTCTGGCCTTCGACCTCTCGTTTATCTTTATCCGTCTCCCATCCGGTTGACCACTTCTCCTTAGGCGACCATGCTTCTCAAGATCACGAGTCCAAAATGCGCCTCATAGTCTTCATACACCTGCTCCTCTATTACGTCTGGCTTGTGCGCAGTAGGACGATCGAAAGAGCGAGGCATGCAGGACATATTGGCTACTCTGGCGGTCTCTCAAGCCAAAATGAACTGGTGCCAGAGAGGGAGGGAGGGGGCAAGACGGTACCATGGAAATACAACATGCCAGTGGTCCTTCGCGACATGCTGAATGCCTTGGACGTTATGCAAGATTCATATTTCGACATTTTCACCGGGACATGGCCAGATGCGATCGACTGGACCTCTGCTGTCATGGGGACACATGTCTCGGCGACGCTCGCCGGCATTGTCTCCTCCTTGGATGCATCTTCCATGGCGACCTGCTCTGATATGCTCTCCTGGCAGAACATAGTTGATCGGTATTATGCTCACACGACAGTCTTCTACTTTGGCGAGAATGCATTTGGTTTACGGAATCAAGCTTACGATGACATGCTCTGGGTTGTTCTTGGCTGGCTCGAGAACTTGAAATTTGCCGAAATGTATACTTTGAAGCACTGGGATTTTATCCAATCTGGAAGACGCGCCGATTCGGGAACTGGGTGGCATGGGCTTCAAATCAGCCCCATGGCCGCTCACCGTGCTCGAATATTTTACGACCTGGCATCTGGGGGATGGGGTGAATCCCTTTGTGGAGGCGGGATGAATTGGAATCCATATCTGACACCCTACAAGAACGCCATCACGAATGAACTTTTCGCTGCGGCCAGCATTGCCATGTACCTCTACCACCCTGGCGACAACAACACGTCCCCATACATGGCAGCAGGCTGGACTGGCTCCCCCAAGCCTCATGATCCCTTATATTTGGAAAACGCCATCAAGAGTTACAAGTGGCTTATGGAGAGCCAAATGCGCAATGCCAAGTCTGGTCTCTATCAAGACGGCTTCCACATCACGGGCTGGCGCCGATACCCGAATGGGACTATCAACCCCGGCACTGGAAATTGCGACGACCTCAACCCTATGGTATATACTTACAACCAAGGGGTAGTGCTGTCCGCTAGTCGCGGATTGTGGTTGGCTACTGGATCCAGAAGCTACTTGGATGATGGCCATGCTCTAGTGGAGAGCGTGGTGCGGGCGACCGGGTGGCCAAACTCACATCCAACCTGGAGTGGTTTGGGCCGTGCAGGGATTCTTGAAGAATTCTGTGACCACAGTGGATATTGTAGTCAAGACGGTCAGACCTTCAAGGGCATCTTTTTCCACCATCTATCCGAGTTTTGTCGGCCATTGTGGCCACAAGAAGAGGCATTCATTGCTACAGACAAAGGTGCGAATTTCGACCGGCAAATCTACCAATACCACCTCGCCCGTTGTGCTGCTTATGACAAATGGGTTGCCCATAATGCCAACGCAGCCTGCGCAACGCGAGACGCTGATGGTCATTTTGGCATGTGGTGGAGTTTCGAGGAACCTGATGAAGACACAATGGCTGAGATCCAGGAGAGTACAGTTCTTCCCACTGGGGCGGATGACTATCTTAATCCTCGTCCAGAGGGCTGGTCTACTCAATTGGTCAACTCGACTGATAGAAACGATCGAGGAAGGGGGCGAACCGTGGAGACGCAGAGTGGAGGATTGGCAGTCCTTCGAGCGCAATGGAACTGGCAAGTGAATTTACAGCAAATTTCAACGTGATATATATGCACGGCCGCGGTTTTTGGTTTACATAGTGGGGTTCCATATACGCAATAACGAGATATATGAGCTCGAGACGATCCATGCTTTTGTAATCGCTGTCAACGACGATACAAGTCTACAGCACACGTTAGCTACAAGCCGCACCAAAACGAATCGGTCGTGAGGAGTACTTGGTCCACCGCATCTCCTCAAAACCATTATGATCCATGCTTGGGGGTGCAAAGGTAGCGCACTGCAACTGCGGACTTATGTGCAGAATGTGCCGGACCCCGACTTTGGTCAACTTTTCCCCATCTCTGTGACCGGACTCATGCGGTGCTGTTTGTGGGAGAAAGGTATCACTTATGTGCGCAAAGTCCGTCGAGCATGTTTTGTCCAGCAAAGGGATTTCCTGGGCCGCGACAAGACAACCATAGCAGTATCCGCCGCTTCACTCGACGTCCAAAGGAGGAGAGCAGCAAGAAACTCGGAATATCGGTTGCGAAGTTATGACGGTGCCTTTGCCCTGCCAACCATCGGAAGTCGTGCGAGGCCTTCGGAACCGAAATCTCTCGTACTGCCAGCTGATTGGCTGCTCCACACTCGAAATAGGCATTACCAAAGGTGTAACCAGAAAACGGCGACCGTTTACACGACTCCGGGGGTCCGCGAATGTCGGTGTGGAGGAGGCTTTTCGCAATGGATGGCTGGATGGGCAGGGGGGATGGATGGGCATTCGGTAAACCCGTCAAAACTATAAGAAGAATCCTCGATCCTCGCCAGCAGAAGCTCAAACATTCATTCCCTAGGTTGACCGGTAAACAAGCAAACCGAACAATAGAAGGGGAAAAACATGGGCTTATTATCCAACATCTCTGCCGACTCGCCCTTCAGCTTGGACAATATCCCATTCGGGGTTTTCTCGATAAAACAAGACCCGACTCCGCGGTGTGCAACTGCTATTGGCGAGTTTGCTTTGGATCTTTGCGCGCTCAGTAAATCTGGCTTTTTTCAGGACGCTCTGGTGGCCGATGCCCTTAGCCAGGTACGGAATATTGGCCCCCATCCGTATCAAATCGCAGCGGCATACGTACACGTAAACGAGGCTGCCTCAAAGGGAGAGGAACATGGTCAGGTTCTAATCGGCTTGGTTGATAGGCGACCCTGAACAAATTCGCAGCGCTCCCAGCAAAGACCAGAAGTGCCGCGCGCGACCAAATCATCTCCGCCTGCAAAGATGGCAAGATCCCAGACTCCGGCTTGCATAAGCTGTCAGAGGTGAAGATGCATCTGCCCGTGGCCATTCCGGAGTACACGGACTTTTTTTGCTCGCTGGAGCATTGCACAAATGTGGGCTCTCTCTGCATTGCCATGTTGTTCTCTAGGACATTTTGCTGATAACACCCCAGTGCATGCCTATAACAAACAGTAAGATTCCAGAGAACTTTTATCATGCGCCGTCAGCATACAATGGTCGAGCATCCAGTGTTATCCCATCACCGTCTCTGGTTCGTCGACCAAGAGGCGTGTATTGGAAAGCTGGGACAAAGGAGCCGACCTATGGACTGTCCCAATTCATCGACTTCGAGCTTGAGATGGGATATATCGTGTCCAAACCAGTTCCTTATGGAGAGACAATCACAGTAGACGACGCGCCAGACCATATATTCGGGTTTGTGTTGCTTAACGACTGGTCGAGTCGGGATATTCAGATCTTTGAAATGCCGCCGTTGGGACCGTTCAACTCGAAATCCTTCGGCACCACCATCTCTCCCTGGATCATCACGCTTGATGCGTTAAAGGCATTCCAGTGTGCGCCGAAGCACAACACTCACCCGTTGGAGCATCTGCGATTCAAGGACTTCGAGCATGGCACTTTCAACATCAAACTCGCGGCTTCCCTCGAGCGAGACGGCAAACGACATCAGATTTGTACAAGCAATCTCCGTTACCTGTACTGGACGCCCTACCAGCAGATTACCCATCACGCATCTGCCAACTGTGGACTCCGCACGGGCGACCTGATGGGCACGGGCACCGTCTCGGGAGATGGCAAGGACGAGAAGACGGGGAAGAAGTTCGAATTGGGCTGTCTGTTCGAGGCGACACAGCACGCCAGCCAGCCCATTGCCCTCGAGGGCGGTGGGAAACTGGGGTATCTTGAAGATGGTGACTCCGTCATCCTGTCGGCATGGTGTGAAGACTCGACCGGACGGCCAGTGCTCGGTTTTGGCGAGTGTCGCGGGAAACTTGTGGGACCTGAAGTGCCAATTTCTTGAACATGGCGAGAGAGCGGAGACGGTAGCAATAGGGGATAATATCTGCGGCGGATGGAGCAAAATAGTGTCCTAGTCTGTCCTCTCCTTGTGATACAATCTTCCCCGTCGAGCCCAGAAAGCGCAGAAATTAGTACTTCGGAGCATTAAGTGAGAGAGCGCAACAATTACGGCGGACCAGACAGGCATACCACTACACACTTGACACGAATTCGTTCGAGATGAGAATTTCATTCTATGTAAGCCACCCATGCGCCGTAGACATGCTGGCTGACGTGTCGGCCAGGTCCCTCGTCAGACCCCTTTTGATCTGTGCCCCTTCAAGTTGAACAAGCAGTGGGAGAGACTCGACGACGACGACGTTCCGATTTCATCCTTTCGCCGCCTCACTAGGAACCCCGAAGATTGGGCGCGACCCCAGCATTGGCGAGCTGCTGCAGGTCTAACGCCTCCGGGGTTGGACTCGTTGGGCCCCGTGCTTACTAGGAAACTTTTTTTCGCCCTCCAGCCCAGGCACGCGCGGACCTTCTTTTCCACCATCAATCTCGCCAGGTTCATATCGTCAGGACGCACTTTGCCGGCATGCGAATCAATCTCTGAATCGGCCCCTCCTCTTTTCTAGGATGCAGAATACTGTCGATCCAACCCCTCGGAGGACACAATTTTCCAGCTGCGATGCTTGTCGCCATTCGCGACTGGCCTGTGATGCTGCTCGGATTGGCGCGGGGCCTGGGAAGCCGGGCTGGTCGGGCTCCTGCTCCAGGTGCAGACGTCGGAAGCGGCCATGTACTTTCGAGGTAGGTCGTGATACAACTCGGGTCTTGTGTGGTTTGGCGCAAGGGTACCGCCCGTGGAAGGAAAAGAAGCACGAAGAGAAGCTCACCTGCAGTTCTATCAGTGGATGAATAATGCGAAAAGATCCGGCGCTCGAGGACCACGGAAGGCCAGAACTCCCCCTATGACAACAGAATCCTCTGAACAGTCATCCTTGTCCCCAGAACTTCGACAGCGCGACACGGAGAATGATACGTGGCTCTCTCTTTCCGAGTCTGCTTCTCAAGGCGCCCCGGATCATGCTCGGTGCGTGTATCCCAGAATTGATACCGCAGCACCACTGATAAGCCTTCAGAAGTCTGTCCACCGAGTCGTCCAACTTGGTTGCCGCTTCCGCTTCATTTGTCCCGCTAACTCCGCCTTTCGAATACACAACAACATCGGTTGGTGACTGGCTCGAGCGGATCTACGAAAGCTGCTTCGACAACGTCTTTGGCTTTTGGATGGGGAGACATGCGTGCGCACTGGTGTACGGGCCGTCGAATGTTTCCAAAATCGCCTCATGCTAACTTCCTCAGTGTCGACCCCAGCTGTAGTATCATCTTGCCTCCCAGTGGATACTTTTCCGAACTGGACGAGTCCATATTCGGTGACTGGGAAGCGCGGAATCAGCCATGTAGTGACCAGTCGCCGAGTCAGAAACAACAGAGGTGGGATCAGATCGATCAATCCCTTAGGCATGCCAAAAGGTCGTTTGCAGCACGATGGTTCCACCTTATTCCCCAGACCGAACGAGCCGGTATCCTGCCTGAACATATTGTCAGAGAGTTCTGGCGCAAATCGCGGAGAGATATGCTGAAAGTGGTCAACCGTGTGTCATATCGTTCTGCGCTTACTCTGTTCCTCTTCTCCCTGACACCCGTCCCTGTGGGAATATCAGAAGAAGAGGAGATGGACGGTTTGTCAGGTCAACTCTGTGTCCAAGCCGCCTTGCAACAGATCCAACGACTGCGTGAGGGGCAGCGCAGCTGCCAGTTTAGCGGATCCATGGTGGTGCAAGCGTCGGATCCATTGACAAGTCCAACAGCAAGTTCAAGGCTTTCAGACAAGTTTCTGCGGACTGAAGCACGTGCCTACTGGGCGGCGCTGACGTTCGACACCTCTTCGTCACTCACACTGAACCTGAGGTCAACACTCACTTCAGGACTGCATGGCGCGGAGATGGAATCCTGCTGGCGAACGCTTAGAATGGGTGCGGGATCTTTCCATACGAGGACTGAGGAATGGCGGAGGAATCCCTTCGCAATGACAGAGGATGAAGTCTTACAGGTGATAGCCGCTGCCGCGGCGACAAAGCTTTACGTGTGGAAGATGATTTCCGTCTTGAAAGAAGCGCTCAGAGAAGGTTCGGAAGATGAGAAGGTGCTTCGAGCCTGGACATCCTTCACCGAAGCCATCGAGATATTTCGAGTCACTTTCCGACCGCTCCTCAATGATTGCGAACGGCGACTCCCGTTTCTCGGGCAGGTGGAGAAGCTGAATTGGTACGAGCTTATGCTGCACTATTATATGGGCATTTTGATTCTTGTCGACGCGCTCGAAGCAGCTGAGCGACATGATCTACTATCACAACTGTCAGAGACCCAACTCGAAGCCGAACATGAGGTTTTCAGTGCGCTAAAATTCGGCCTGGATAGCCAATACACCGTCGGTGGATCTCACCAAGTTGGACCGACGATGGGGACGCAAAACTCAAAACTGGACCAGACTACAACTGCGTCTTTTATCGCCCTTGATCCGTATCCGCATCATGTCGTTGCGGCAGCCCAACTTATGGGGAAAGTCGTCAGCAGACAATACCGCCAGGGCAAGGTCAAACTGGAAGCATACAAATATTTGAATGGGACCTTGCTCAAGTGTCTTGCGGAGCTGCCGCAAACCTCCAAGTCTGTTCAGGCCGCTCGACAAAATCTGCAGAATGCACTCACGGGGCTGGAAAATACCTCTTCGCAGTCTGCAATTGCTGGATGCCTACAATGGCCTCTTCAGAGTCTATTATTGCGAGCTAAAACCGAACGATGAACTGACGAAGATTATGCTTATGCTTGAAAACTTCTGGGACACCCAAACACTCCAGCCGAAAGACCATTCCAACAGTGAGAGGCCAACGGTGACCATCAAGAGGCATGGCCACAGCATCATTCAGAACCGCGGCCTCCGTTCATGACTGTCGCACGTGTTGACCCATCGGTGCCAATATCCGAGAACCTTTCCGGAACCGAGTTTTTGGGTCGTTGGCAACACAGTCTAAACGGCTATACGCCCTGAGGAGTACACAGCCGCGGCGCCTCTATGGAAGGGCAAGGCAATCGACGTTGCCCGCCGATCATGTCATTGTGGAAATATCGACATATCCTTTATCTGTCTCCGCTCGATGGAAGCCATCTTGGAACGGAGCCCAGACAGGTGCGAGAAACGATGCAGTCTTCGACAAAAGACGATTTTGAAGACAGCAATTGTCGGTGCGTGAGTCGTACTGTCGCGCCTCAAGTCTTGGGGCCGATCCTCTTCCTAGCTTCCCATTGCACGGCGTCAAAACTGGACTCCTATTGCCAGTGAAAGTATTTATATGTCCTCTAGCGCACGACATGTGACCTTGACCATAGCCGCGCCTGCTGAGATCCCATCCCACTGCAGGGACAAGATCTCTGCAATGCCAGACGGTAAGATTCCAGAGATGAAGGACGGCAATCGAGTACGGCTGAAGAGATTGGGTCGCAAGACCTTTGAGCGGCAGACTGTCGAATGGAATGAGTTGAACTGCGAAGAACCAAGGGAAAAGCTTAGTGGGTTATGAGATGCCTTATCAGCACCACACATGCTCCAGAGGGGCCTTTTCCCAAAATGTAGGCACATTATATAACCTGCTGGACTTGCTGAACTTGGCTGATTCTTGCTTGCAGTGTTTCCTTTTCGGGACAGTCTGGCCGACTTGAACCACCGTGATGTCATTGGCTCCAGTTTCTCCGTCTATGGATGGTCACTATTTCTCAACCGGCTTCAACCTCGCCCCGTCAACAGCCATTTCTTCCCTTTCTCTCTCATCAAACCCCTCGACTTATTAAGCTGCCGCTCGCATGAGCCTTCCTTGCGGCATGTGCAACGGGAGAAACTAGGCTCTCCAGTCATGCTAAAGGGCAGCCTGCCCCCATTCCAACACCGCTCTGTTTCGAGGCAGTGCAGTGACAATCGTGAAATGATCAAGAGCCGTCGAAGACCAACAATTACCAGAAGCAAGTTACCGCCGCCGTAATGGCTGCCGAATCTATCTTTCCAGACTTTGTTCTCGGCCATCCAAGGCACCATAAGACGAGACCTCAGGGCGTGCCACAGAGGCAAAAACCCAAGGCACGGCCGCCGAAGGGCTTGAGGGACAAAGTTCCCTTCTATGGCAAGTTGCCGCACTATGCTGGCCCCTACGAAGTCGGAGTCATCGACATCGAAGTGCCTGCAAAGAACCCCAGGACCTTTTCAAAGATCAAGAGGCATGGCGTTCCCGCTCTCGCCCTCGAGACGGTGTTAATGACAATCTACTATCCCGCTCATCTGAATGTTAAATACGATGTCGACACTCCGGCCACGTTGCAAAGATTTCGCCCCACGTGGCTGACTCGACCGAGAGATCAGACGAGCCGCGGTTATGCGCGTTTCGCAGATCTCCCCGAGCACTTAATGATGGCCTTCTTCTTCTGCACAACCTGGTATACGAAGATTCCTGCATATAAAAATGCAAAACTGGCCGATCACTGGCCTCCGTACGGAGAAGCATCCACACACCGGCGGGAGGCTGTGGATAAAGAGGGGAAGCCACCTGCCCAAGGCCCGCGAAAGCCCAAGTTCCCACTCATCATCTTCAGTCACGGATTGGGAGGGACGAGGACGTGCTACTCATCCGTCTGCGGCGAGTTTGCCAGCCATGGGCTTGTCGTGGTGGCGCTGGAGCACCGCGACGGAAGCGGTCCGAGGACTCATATTAATCATTCAGAGGCTGGACCAGGAAGCCGGCACTGTACCAAGATCAACGGTAATATAGAGCACAAGAAGAAGGATACCAAGAGACCCTACGATACGGTGGACTTCATTTTTGCAAAAGACGACAAGTACGACACGAGCCCCGGCCACAAGGTGGATCATGAGCTACGCAACGCCCAAGTTGATCTGCGGTTGGCCGAGATTGACGAGGCCTATCAGATCATGCAAGAAATATGTGCAGGGGAGGGTGAGAAGGTCGCGGCGAGAAATCTCCGGGTGAAACCTGCAATTGGTGCTTCAAGGGTCGGTCTGGATGGCATTGACTGGTCATCCTGGCAAGATCGGTTCTTCACCGAGGGGGTCACCATGGTGGGGCATTCCTTTGGAGCGACGACGGCAGTTGAGGTCTTGCGGCAGAAACACAAGTACAAGTACATAACGCAGGGAATCATCTACGATATTTGGGGGATGCCTGTGCGGCCGACGGCCGAAGAGAGGGCAAGCCGTATTCGCGTTCCACTTCTCGGAATCAACTCTGAAGCATTCATGTACTGGCCAGATAATTTCGAAGTGGCAAAGGCAGTGACGATGGAAGCCTTGGAGACAGGACATCCGGCATGGCTACTGACAGTGCGTGGGACAGTGCATATCTCCCAATCGGACTTCTGCATCCTGTATCCGCAGCTCGCCAGTTACCTGATGAAAACAACCATCGACCCCGTTCGCGCCATCGACTTGAACATCGACGCGTCTCTGGAGTTCTTGGCCCGGGTCATGCCCAGGGAGGTGCAGTACGAACAGCCCTTTCTTAGGAGGATGAGCAACAAGAAGCTGTTGGACGTTCCCCCTCTGGACGACTTACCGACAGAGCACCAGCCGGACAAGAAGTGGACGGCAGTGCGCTTGAGGGTTGAACACGAGGCTCGCAAGCGGCTCACACCCGGCACGAGGAAACGTTACTGGGAGAAACTGCAGCGGTCCGGAGGGGGCGAGATTTGGCTCCACATCAACCCGGACAGTACGCCCGAGTTGGAAAAATGCGAGACTTGCCGGATCCCTAGATGGACTGACATTGACCGGCCGAAATCGAGGGAATGATTTGTTGGACGTGTATGTCAATGTCTCGCTGTCTATGGCCGAGTCCCAGCTACAGACCTCCTGGCAGATTATTCTTGATCCGGCTTGTGATTCGTCCTACAGACAATCTTGATGAACATCGATTGAGATGAATTTGGGAAGCGGAATGCCGGCAAGATGCAACGTCAAGTCCAAATCGCCGCACAGCACCCCGAGGGTGTGACCGACGCCTTCCTCACCTCCAAGAACTAAGACATATGTGTACGATCTAGCTCCCAGCGCCATAGGTTTGGCAATGTCCGCGCCATACCGGAACCCAGAGTCGAGGAAAATGTCTCGCTTATCGCCCACAGGATCAGCGATGCTTGGTCACATTCCAGGCAAGCCAACACCGCCATCGACTTGTTGACCGCCATGACTGCCTACCACGATCCCTTGAACACCAACTTCGACGGCTTTGAGGGCGTCAGGAACACCCTGAATGCCTTTCAAGATGATGGTGCCCTTGCAATGTTCTTTTAGGGGGTTGATATCGTCCCACGAATGGATCATGCCGGGAAAAGCCGTGCGAGTCCATTCTGCGGCCGCCTTGCCTTCATCTTCCTCAATCCCGACACCGTGCTTGTCCTTGAACCGCGTCCGGGATATTGGATCTGAGAAACCCAGGCGACACGGATCGAATCGGAGTAAGGGAACGGGCTATATCCGCGAGAGGCCAGATGTTTGATCGAACGGCTGGGATCAACCTAGCGACCTACCCATTATCCATTGTGACTTGGTCGCCATCCCAGGACATACATGTCTGGGGTGATAAACAAAGCATAGAGTCTCGGCTTCCTAGGCAACGGTATTGTCCGAGTCCGCGGCCGCATCTCTCTTCATTTTCCTGGCGGACGACGGCCCCGTGGCTGCTGTGGGAGTGTAACGTGTTTTGGTGATGGGATATCGCTTACGGTGGTGACGGCGGTTGCTTTGCGATGACGCAGCCTCAACGAAGAGTGACAAATGGGGAAAATGGCGGTATTCTTCTTGGTCGATGCCCAGTAAGATATGTACAAGACGTTGATTTAGATGACAGACACATAGATGCCTAGATGCAACTATATATTTTCTCTTTGTCCAAGCTGCTCTTTCCCTCTGCAGCAAAGTAGCTTCTAGTAGGACCTAGTATGTACCTACACATTGACGCGCTATTATACGTCTTAATCTTATATCACATAGAAAGCCGAAATCGCAAGTCATTTTAACTTACTACGCATCGCTATACAAGGATTGCAGGGGTCGAGGTCATCAGTGAAATGTCCTCTCATGTAACCGGGGATGTCCTGGTGTCACCATTGATAGCCCTGTTTTAACCTAGCCTTGTCGGCGCCACCTTTTCCAACCATGTACTATCGTTGGCACCGTCGATATTCTGAGGTGGAACGAGGATGGGAGAGAAGGATACGTAGGGCCTGATAGGTTTTGTGGGGCTAAAGAGACTCGAGAGGGGTTTTTCAGGCTTCACCCTCGTGGTTTGTCTCGTTCCCCGCGATCTATGTCCGTCTGCCTCGCTTGGAAAATGACCATATGGACGGACCTGGCTGGGCTGAAATGGGGCCTCCTATGATGAGTTTGCATGGGGTTTTCCTGAGACTACTCTCTTGGAAACCTCCCCCCATCGCGCGACAAGTCTTCCGCCTATTCTCTTCCCGTCTTTTGCATTCGAGAATTGGATCACACATCAACCACCATGTCTGCTGTTCAAGGACATTGTGACGAGAAATTCCGCGAGGTCAAAGACCTGTTGCAGAAATACATCGACTCGGGCGGGGAACTGGGTGCTTCCATCACCGCCAATTTGGACGGAAAGGATGTGGTTGATGTCTGGGGAGGCTACGCCGACCAGGGCCGGAAGCGACCATGGGAAAAGGATACCATCACCAACCTCTTCTCGACCACCAAGACCATTGCAGCGCTGGCAGTCCTCCTCCTCGTCGACCGGGGTGTCCTTAGCGTAAATGACAAAGTGTCCAAATACTGGCCAGAGTTCGCTGCGAACGGGAAGCAAGACATCGAAATCCGTCACATCCTATCTCACACCTCCGGGGTGGCTGGATTTGACACTCCTCTGACGGTGGATGATATCTGCGACTCACCCAAGGTCACTGCACTGTTGGCCGCGCAGGCTCCATGGTGGGAACCCGGCACGGCATCCGGTTACCACTCATTCAGCCAGGGCTACTTGATTGCAGAACTTGTCCGGCGAGTGACAGGCAAATCTCTCAAACAGTTCATCGCTGAAGACATTGCTGCCCCTCTGGGTGCCGATTTCCAGCTGGGATGTTTGGACAAGGACGAAAGGCGGAGATCGGATGTTGTCCCGCCTCCACCGGCAGGGCCTCCTCCCTTGGACCCTGCCTCGATTGGGTTTCGAGTCGTGACGAACCCGCCCATGAGAGCGGATTTTGCAAACAGTGAGCTGTTTAGGAAAGCAGAAATCGGAGCGGGGAACGGGCACAGCAATGCTCAGGGAGTCAACCGGATCTTGTCTGTCATTTCCATGCAGGGTCAAGTGGATGGGAAACAATTCATTTCGCCAGAGACCATCGACCTCATCTTTCAAGAACAGTCCAACGGCATGGACCATGTTCTGGCCTTCGGATCACCCATACGCTGGGGCATTGGCTTTGCTCTTCCCGCTGAAGGGACCTGGATTGACTGGCTGCCGTCGGGACGATTGTGCACATGGGGCGGGTACGGTGGGTCGATGGCGGTCATGGACTTGGATCGGAAGTTGACCATTTCGTATGTCATGAACAAGATGGACAATGTTGGGCTTGGTTCGGACAAGGCGAGGGCATACATTGCGGCAGTATATAAAGCCTTGGAAGTTTCTTGAGAACTTCGTGAAGAGCTCTACGCCAAGGCCTGCCCGTGTCTAGCGAGCCTTCGGTGCAACAGCCGCCGAATCTGAAAGACTGCCGAGCCGGTACATACTTGTCTGCTTGTTCCTCCACGATCCTTTCTTACTCGCACGACCAATCTCGTCCTTTTGTAAATGCATGGATCGACGACTTCGCGCCCCCTTTGGTCAAGGTAACATCCGCCAATATGGCACAACATACAGCGAAACGCTCATGTCCGTGTCTTCTCCTTCAAGCGGTAGGATGAACTGTCGTCCTACATATGGGATGACAGCCCACCCAGCTGCCGGCTTCGCTTCCGGAAGGTCCCAAGAGAAGCAGATAATCCCAGTCCTACCATGGTGACGAAGAACTAGACCTGCAGCAGCAGTCACTTTAGCGATGTCGGACGCAATGGCACACGCGCTCAAGGACGTTGAAGCCGGCAAGGTGAGCGAAGCCGCCATGGTTGAGTCGCACCAGCAGCAGGACGGCTTCGATGAGGTGGAAGACCTCAAGCATCTTGAGCACGAGCAGAGAAACGTCGGCACGCTCGAGCGGAGGCTGAAGTCGCGCCATGTTCAGTTCCTCGCCCTCTCCGGCGCCATTGGCACCGGTCTCTTCGTGGGAAGTGGTCAAGCCCTGAGTCTCGCGGGGCCCTTGTCCACCTTCCTGGCATACCTGATTACCGGCTTCAATCTCTACGCCGTCATCAACAGTCTCGGCGAGATGGCCGCCTATCTGCCACTTCCGGGTGCCGTGCCCGTCTACGCTGCCCGCTTCGTCGACGACGCGCTGGGCTTCACGCTGGGCTGGAACTACTGGTACCAGTTCGCTATCGGCGTGCCGATTGAGATCTCGGCCGCCGCGGTGGTGATAGGATATTGGCCGAACACGATCTCCAACGCTGTGTGGATTACTGTGTTGTTCATCCCGATGGTGCTCATCAACTGCTTCCCTGTGCGCATCTATGGAGAGGCGGAATTCGTATTTGGCGCAATCAAGCTCACCACGATCGTCGGCTTGATCCTGCTCATGTTCATCATCACCCTGGGCGGCGCGCCCAACCACGGCCCCATCGGGTTTCGGTACTGGGATCATCCCGGCCCGATGCTGGAATACCTCGAGGCCGGCGCCCTGGGTCGCTTCCTCGCGTTTTGGAAGGTTTTCATCAACGCGACATTCAGCTATGGGGGGAGTGAGATGGTGGTCGTGGCCGCCGGGGAGTGCGAGAACCCACGCAGGAACGTGCCCAAGGCCGTACGGCGCGTCTTCTGGCGCATCGCCATCTTCTACGTGCTGGCCATCTTCCTGGTCAGCATGTGCGTTTCGGCCAAGGACCCACGGCTCTTGAACGCGATCAGCAGTTCCGCACCCGGTGCGGCGGCGAGCCCTTTCGTCATCGCGATCGTCAACGGCGGCATCTCGGCGCTGCCGTCCATCATCAACGCCGTCATCCTCTCGTCCGCGTGGTCGGCGGGCAACTCGTTCTTCTACGCCTCGACGCGTGTCCTCTACGCGACGGCACTGGACGGCCGCGCCCCTGCTTTTCTACGCCTCGAAAAGTTCGGTGTGCCGTACGGCTGCGTGGGAGCCACGACCTTGCTCTCCCTGCTAGTCTACCTCAATGTCAGCTCGCGGTCGGCGGACGTGTTTTTCTGGATCTCGAACCTCTCGGCCGTGAGCACCCTGATCGTCTGGGCAAGCGTCTGCATCACCTACATCCGCTTCTACCAGGGCCTCCACCACAACGGTATCCCGCGCTCGAGCCTGCCATTCAAGTCCCCTCTACAACCATTCCTGGCGTACTTTGCGCTCTGCTTTTGCACCGTCGTCGCGATATTCAACGGCTTCGACGCCTTCTTCCCCGGCCGCTTCAGCGCCAAGAGCTTCGTCCCGCCGTACATCGACATCCCCATCTTCGCGATCTTATTCGTCGGGTATAAAGTGGTCAAGAGGACAAAGTTCGTCAAGTTGGCCGAGATGGATCTGTGGAGCGGCAAGGCCGAAGCGGATAGGCTGGAGGGAACGTGGCCGGAGGTCAAGGCCAGGAATTTCCTCGAGAGGATCTGGTTCTGGATTGCCTGAGCAGCGACGGAGCCCTGGCAGAGCGGCCGCTCGAGCAGGTACTAGGTAGTTGTTGATGGCATTGCTGCTTGCACACTCACGTACGTAGTACGTACTCGGATAGTGAACGAGTGACCTATCCGGGACAATGGATTGCGAGACACCAACACCCCTGCACTCTTTTCCCCAAGAGCCCGAGACCGAGCAGGTCGAATGGGAGAATGAATGTCACCGGCGGCCTCGCAAGTGGTTGGCACTTTCAAATAGATGTGCTTCGTACGAGTAAATACGGCGAGCTGGTGGGGGGTGTTGGTTTGTGGGCGTGTGGGCATGGAAACTGGGAAATTTTGATGATACATACGTACGGCCGTACCGAACAGTCTCCCGCCAAAGCACGTTGGATCGACGGCTTTACGCACGCAGGGAGAAAAAGGGAAAACAACATGCGGAGAGAATAATTCGTTCTCGTCCTTCCCTTTGTGCATTGAGTCCATCCTCCCATCCTCCAGCATCTCGATGTCTCAACGTGCAAGATAGTCTAGGGCGCAATTGGCGTAGATGGTAGGGCCAGGTTCAATCAAGCGTGTCGTGTGTAGTGTAACTTAGGTATTCGATTACGGCCCTAACTCTAAACTTATATACCAGGGTCAAGTGAGCCAGTGGGTGCTACTTTCGTACTCCCTACCGTATATCGACGAGATGCTAGTTATGGAATTTGCAAGGGGCGGGGGAACTCTTGACAAGGACAAACCGGGCTCCGATCACAAGAAAACTAAAAGGTTTGAACTACGTTTATATATGAATATATAGTGTATGTATATATCTAACCATATGGGTTCGGCAGCTAGCGTGGCTAGAGGAAATTTTAGGTATAATAGCGAGACGATTTCAGCAGAATACAGCCTACTGAGAAATTGAGAGCTTCAAACAACCTCGACAACCGGATTTCCTGGGTCACCATCGTCATCACAGCCCTGCTCCTGAAACTGCACTCGAGAAGTGTTGAGAGAGATAGAGAGCGCTCGCCATGTCATTCACGCCACAAGATATCCCGGACCTTTCGGGTCGCGTGTACTTCGTCACTGGAGGCACAGCCGGGTTGGGCGCGGGAACCGTATCTCTCCTTGCCGCGCATAAGCCTGCGCACATCTACTTCTCGGGCAGAAGCGGCGACAAGGCCAAAGCCGTGGTGGAGAAAGTCAAGGCTCAGAATCCAGATGTGCCTCTCACGTTCATCCATTGCGACCTGGCGAATCTGGCGTCAGTGCGCAAGGCCGCTGACCAGTTCCTCGCCCGGACGGAGCGGCTGGACGTCTTCTTCGCCAACGCCGGCATCATGGCTCTCCCGCCGGGCACGACGGTGGACGGCTACGAGATCCAATTCGGCACGAACCACATGGGCCACGCGTTGCTGATTAAGCTGCTCTTGCCGCTGATGCAGCGCACCGCGGAGCATGTCCCGGGAGCCGACGCGCGGATCGTCATGAGCTCGTCGATCGCGTACAAGCAAGCGCCCAGAGAAGGAATCGCGTTCGAGACTCTGAAGACACCCCAGCGCAACCTGGGTGGCCTTGTCCCCGGCGGCGAATGGTGCCGCTACGGCCAGAGCAAGCTGGCAAACCTCCTCTATGCGCGGGGCCTGGCAAAGCGGTATCCGAACATCACCTCCGTGTCAATTCACCCGGGCTATATCAAAACGGATCTGTTCGCGGGTGTGTCTTTCCTGACTGCGCTCCCCGTCCGCATCATGGCCGCGGGACACTGGACGCCCGTCGAGCAAGGGCCCTATAGCCAGACGTGGGCTGCCACGACGGCGAAGCAGAACCTCGAAAATGGCGCGTACTACGTCCCCGTTGCCAAGAGGGGCGTGTTGGAGACGGTCGCGGCGAAGGACGACAAGTTGGCAGATAAACTGTGGGACTGGACCGAGAAGGAACTGGCTCTATTTTCGTGAGATGCCATGATCTGGATGACCTGGATGATTACACCACTTTCGAGAGAGAGGGCACGAATAACAATAATATTGGAAGCTGGGGGACGTCGAGGATATCAAGCCCAAGCCATCACGAATTTGCTTTCCATCCTTGTATGATATCAGATCCGGTCGAATAACGTGATGGAGTTTAGCGTTAGCAATCACTGTATGGAGGATATTTTACCGTCTCCTTCTTTCTGAAAAACATTCATTTGGTCTGATTGAAGGTGCTGTACGAGGTACATCTCGGCGAGAAAGCGGAGCAGACTCTCGACAAGGCTGAACAAGGCTGAAAAAGATGCCAAGCTTAGGGAGCATCTTCGGACCGAGGCATCTGGACAATGGACGGACTCCCTCCAGGCTTTTCTCCACACTCCTTCGCTAGCTCGCTGCTCATTCGAATGTGAGTGCGGAGATGGTCGCCTCTACTACTCCGTACTTAATGGAATCCTCTGCTTGCATTGAGGAAATGAAGACTGTCGCTACCTATCCAAGCTGATCCGTAGCCCACCACCCACTATGTCGCCCCCAGAGTCAGCAGCGGCCTGGAAAGCCATCGCAGCTCGCAAACAATCCTCTCGCGCCTCGCGGATCCCGTCCAAATGGCACATCCCCTACAGCGTCCTGCCCAAGGATCCTCCCAGCCTGGAACACGGCCCGCAGAACGTGCTGGACTTACCTCGCCAGTTCCTCTCGAGCGCTGAGATCTCCATCACTGAAGACTACACGGTGGAAAGCCTCCTCTCGGCATTGGCGAGCAAGAAACTGTCCTGCGAAGAAGTCGCCCAGGCCTTCTGCCACCGTGCGGCCATCGCGCACCAACTCACAAACTGCCTGACCGAACCACTCTTCGACTCGGCCGTCCAGCGTGCAAAGGAGCTGGATGCATACCTGGCACAGAATGGGAGGCCTTTTGGTCCGCTGCACGGGTTGCCCGTGTCGGTCAAAGATACATTCAACGTCAAGGGCGTGGACACGAGTATCGGACTAGCTTATCTATGCGAGAAACCCGCGACGGAGAACGCCCCTTTGGTGAGCCTGCTTTTGTCGCTAGGCTGCGTGATCGTGGCCAAGACGAATATCCCGCAAACACTGGCGTCGCTCGATAGCGTCAACAACGTGTTTGGAAGGACGATGAATCCGATTAATCGCCTCTGCACGGCGGGTGGGTCGAGTGGTGGCGAGGGCGTCCTCGTAGCGATGAAGGGGAGCATTCTCGGGATAGGAACGGATATTGGCGGCAGCATCCGTGTGCCGGCCATGTGTAATGGCGTGTACGGATTCAAACCATCCAATAATCGGATACCATACGGTGGGCAGGCACTTACAGGACGAGAGGGGATGAGTCGCACGAGCGTGCAGGCCGTGGCTGGACCCATAGCGCGAAGCGTGAGGGACATTGACGTTTTCCTGCGAGAGGTGATACCCAGAGCGACCTTGTGGGCAGAGGATTGTATGCCATGCCCGTGGTCCCCGTCCAGCCCTTCTTCCCAGCAAATCCAGGGCAGCGGGCCGAACGGTGAGCTTGTGATCGGCATACTGCGGAGCGACGGCAACTGCACCCTCCTGCCACCGATCACGACCATCCTCAACGAAGTCGCGGTGTCCCTCCAAGGCGCCAACACGCGCACCGGGGCCAAGATCGTGGTCAAAGAGCTCCTCACGCCGCGCGCCTGGACGCGCTCGCAGTCGGTCATGAGCAAGCTAATGGGCGTCGACGGCGCTGTCGTCATGAACCACATGATCACATCGACAGGCGAGCCGCTGGTGCCGTGGATGTCCACGCGCTTCCGGGCCGGCAAAGCCCAACCGCTCGAGCGCGTAGCGGACCTACAGGCGCAGCGCTCACAGCTGGAACGGGAGATGCTCAACCTGTGGAGCGAAGTCGACGCGCACGGCCGCCGCAGACAGACTCTGGACGCCATCGTCTGCCCCGTCGCGCCTCACCCCGTTCCCCCCATCGAGGGCTACAACGCCGTCGGCATGACCTCCAGCTGGGTCCTGTTCGACTACCCCACGGGGACCGTTCCTGTGCGCTCTGTCGTCGAGGACGACCTCGAGCTCGGCAGACCCCTACCCGCCGGCAACGTGCTGAGCAGCTGGGACGCAAAGTGCCGCGAGCTGTGGGACGAACATGTCACGGACCGTAGGGTGTATCTCGGCACGCCGCTCAGTGTGCAGGTCGTCGTACAGAGAGGGAGAGACGATTGGCTGTGCAGGGTCATGGGTGTTATTGATGAGGTGATGAAGTCTCAGACTCAGACTCAGTCGGGGGATGTCAAGGCGAGATTGTAGCTTGACCGACCAGTCAATTAAAAAAAAAACAATCTGGTCTATTATTTTGTGCTCCGCGCTTTGTACAGGGATGTGAGATCCGTAGAAACGATGCCAATGTCCGCTTGAAAGTAGAGCAGGTATATATGTATATACCCATACGTGTATTGAATACCTACCTCTCTAGGTTGGTGTATATTTACACACACCGCCCGAATCTTTCTTTGGGAATACCGGTTCAGCTGTCTCCGCCACTACATGGTTGGTAAGAGATCTCTTGACGGATAAACATGGTATCCGTCCATCCATGCCATCCGATCATGACGCGCTCCGAGTACGGGCCGGGAGGAGAGTCCAGAGACAAGAACAAGCACAAGAGACGTTGAGAAGATTATATTAGTTATGTAGGTAGACAGGTAGATAGGTAGTAGCCATCACAAGCCTTCGTGATGCATGCCCAACCAAGCCTTTTCGCCCTTATGCCCTTTCCCTCATGTTTCCTTGTTTCCCTGCCTCCCTTTTCCAGTTCCTGTTCCTGTTTCCAGCGCTTGCTAAATGACCGACGGCCAACAGTGTTCAACGAATCGACGAGTCGATGAATCAATCAATCAATCAATTAATCAGCGCTCAGTTGAACGACTAAAGCAGCTCTCCCTCTCGCCCTCTTGCTCTGCTCATGAAATACCAAACCGAGAAATGCGAGAAAACACTCCAAATACCCCTGTGAATCAATCGCAAGGATCTTCCTCACCCGAGTTCCCCCTTGTCTTCC